TGGAAAGTGGGTGACAAAGTCTGGCTTTCTACCAAAAACTTAAAAAGCACTCAACCCTCTAAAAAACATGGCCCTAAATTCGTAGGGCCTTTCCCCATTGAAAAAATCATCAGTCCTGTGGCTTTTAAATTAACTCTTCCAAAACATTACAGGAAAATACACCCAGTTTTTCATGCCAATCTATTGAAATCCTTCAAGGACTCCAGCACGTGGCTTTTTCCCATTGTTCCGTCTGTATAATATGTCCAAAGTTCTTAGCCCGTTTTATCATACACTCCTTCACTTGTTTTTCTTCCGTTTCAAATTTCAATAAGAGTTTATACATTTTGGCAATTATGTCTTCAATATATGTACATAGTTCATAGTTCATAGTTCAGTTTCAAATTCCGCCTTATGTTGTTCAATTCCAAATATCCTTTTATCTACCTTAAATCTTTCTCTTAACTGTGCATTGAAAACTAAATCCCTCTGCAGTCAGTTGATCCCTTGATTTCATCTTATACAGTGGTACCTCGAGTTACAAATGCCTCTGCTTACGAATTTTTCATGTTACGACCAGCTCTGGCCCCAGAAATTTACCTCATGTTGCGAACCACCTCGAGTTACAAACCGGATCCGTGGCCATTTTCCACCTCTGACACGTGGTCTGCGGCCATTTTCCGCCCCTGACACGTGGTCCGGGGCCATTTTCTGCCCCTGACACATGGTCTATGGCCATTTTTCCACCCCTGACTCTCCCTCCAAGCAATAGCTGCCTCCCTGTCCTCCACGCCAGAACGGATTAATGGTAATTACATTGAACCTTATGGGAAAATTTGCCTCGTGTTGCAACCAATTTGCGTTGCAAACAGAGTCACAGAATGGATTAAATTCGTAACTCGAGGTACCACTGTAGTCTCTGTGTTCTTGTTTTAACAGCTCTCGATATGCTAACCATTTCTCTTTGCCTGCTGTTTCTTTCCTGTAAAATGCTTCTTGTGCAGAGAGTGATGGAGAAAACAGAGGGGACCTGAAGCAAACGCACCTTATCCACTCTGGTGGGACAGGAAGATGTCCTCAGGGAGAGCCAGTCCCTGAAATAACCTGGCCCTGTGACATACAGGGCATTAAAGGTGATAACCAGCACCTGGAATTGCACCTAGGAAGAAACTGGAAGCCAGTATACTTGTACAACAGCAGTGTAGCTTGGGTGAACCAAAATTGCACGCACCATTGCATTTTGGACCAGTTGAAATTTCTGGGTGTCTTTGAGGATAGCCACATGTACGAAGTACCGCAGTGGCCCAAACGGGAAGTGACTGGGGCACGAGTCCAGGCATGGGTGCAATTGGAACTCAAGGTAAACCCGTGCAAAGGCCCTCCTAGCCACGGCTGCCATCTGTTCCTCGATCAGGAGCCGCAAGTCCACAAGGACCCCCA